AGTCTGAGATATTCTATTTTTATGAGTGTGGTTTCTGTACCTATATATGCTAATAAACAAAACCATTTTTCAGTGTTTAATGGATTCCCTTCAATATTAATATGGCAAACAATACATTTCTTGTACAACTAGGATTAAAATGTCTCTATGACTGACTGTAAAAGCTCACATAATAGGAGTTTAAAAAAAAAAAAAAAAAACTGATTTAGAGAGAGCGAAGGAGAGTAGGAGAACCATGCAGAAAAATCTGTGCTTGGTCACCCACTCCTCAGTCCACGCACTCACCCACTCACAGTCATGAATATACTAAAAAGCCTGCCATGTTTTTATTGCTTCTTGAAGGTGCATAAGAATGAAATAGGAAAATGCTATGATTAGAATTTTTGCACAGTAAACACGTATTTGATCTACTTTTTCTCTTCTCAGTAACTTTTTAGATATGACTCTTACTTTTGCAGCACGTTTTTTAAGGGTGGAAAAAATAAGAGAAGCTAGTGGATTCTCTGTGGAAATAGATGCTAAAACCAAATGTGTAAGTGAATGAACGCTCATATTGATCTCAACTGTGAGAAGATCATACACAGAAATGACATTTCAAGTTATCACATGCTAAAACACACAGAAATTGCTACATTTAAAAAGTACTGATTTGCAGTGAGACTACTTTTTGACGTCAATACAGAGTGCACATACATGATCCTCCTGAGAGATAAGAGTTCGGCTTATCTGACCACATAATAGAAACATTTAGGCAAAATCAGGTTTGTGGTTTTGAGGTAGACTGAGGAAGAAAATCAGGCACATTTCATGCTCAGCCACATTCATTCTCAGTTTCTACCATTTCTTGCAAACATCTTTACTCGCTGTCTTTTTTTTTTCCAAAATAACATAAACTGTGACCACTGAGAACTCATCTACACCCATTATCACCCATTACCAGAAGTTAATTCTAAACTTCATTCCTGTATTTTTGTACATAATTCTTATACACAGTTTTCCTGTATTCTTATTGTCACAGTAACAGTCACTGTTCCTGTAGTTCTTGCCTCCTCATTAAGCTACCCAGTAGCTTCCACCATCCCCTACTATAAAGAATGCCATAAAAGACACATGAAGTAGTCAGTCCACAAAAGAATCAGTAAGACTGTCTTGACAAGCATTATGAGTCCAGTCTCTGTGGCAATCTCAGTGGCACTCATAATAAACAAGTGCTTCCTGACATTCGGATGGAAGCTCCTGCATGTCAGTTTGCACCCACTAACTCTAGAACTGGTATCACTGAACAGAGCCTAGCCTCACCTTCTTTGCACTCTCCCTTCAGCTATTTATATATACAAATGAGCTACCTCTTTTCCAGAATGAACAGTTTCAGCTCTCTCAGCATATGTTCCAGTCCCTTCATCTGTGGTCCTTTTTGGACTCTTGTGCACTTGTACTCTTCTCTCTTCTTCTGTGGAGTCTAGACTAGACACAGTACTCAACATCATAAAATCATAGAATCACCAAGTTTGGAAAAGACATACAAGCTTATCCAGTCCAACCGTCCACATATCACCAGTAGTTCTTCCTAAAAGGTGAGTTGCTTCACCTGCTGAGAGCAGATGGGAAAGACTGCCTCCCTTCAGAAACCTGCAGGTGTCACTCCTCCTTAACAGTATGCTGAGGATAACATTCGCCTTCTCTGGGGCAAGAGTATGTTGTTGGTTCATATTCAGATAGATTCACCAGAGCTCCCCATGGCCTTCTCTGACACACTGCTTTCCAGCTGATCAGCCTCCAAGATGTATTCCATATGCCTGGGGTAGTTATTTCCTAGGCCATACTGCCCAGATCATTAACTGGATCTAATACTGACTGTTAGGTATAACTGTACCTTAGCATAACAGTCACTAGCTATTGGCTCCCAACAAGGCCCACTGATCTCACCAGCAGGGCCTGGCCAATCAGCCAATTTTGAAATCCTTACTCTTTCATCATCCTAACTTCAGCTTCCATGAGGATCTTATGGCAGAGCGTGTTGAAAGCCCTACTGAA